TTTCTAATCTTTTGTGTTTCTAAATTTTCTTTAGATTTATTTTTTCTGACCAATTCGTGAGATCCTTTAAATCTTTTCTTTCTCAGATCACCCCTTCTGGAATGAACTATTGAATTTTCAACTGCTATAAAATCATCATCACTAGAAATACTATTTGATGTATCTTCATCCTCATCTTCATGCTGTTTCGTATTCTTTTTATAAACTGCTTTTTTTTTTTTTTTGGTATATGCTTTGTTATGAAACTATTTATTAAATTTTCAAGCTCTTGTATAGCATTAGTGCCGGCGTCCAATCCAATTTGTATAGCTTTTTTTGACAATCCATTGACTGTTATGTAAGATTTGTGATAATTAACCTTAGTATAAATATTGCTAAAGGAAATCTTTAGTAAACAAAATGACAAATCAGAAAAGGATTATTCATTATTAACTAAAGTTGGTGTATTTTGTTTATTACCCAATCCAATAATGAAAGGATATTACCAAGTTAATGATTCTGATTCAACCTGCTTTTCATCAATGTACTACCTTTTAGGTATAAGCATAATATGAAATGCGATATAGTTAAACATAGTCATGACTTGAAAAAAGTGTCGACAAACAAATCTACATTGAATTAAACCAAGATATGTGCATAAATGTGAATTATTTTTAAACAATACGACATAGTTTTTAACTTTGCGTCTGTGTCAGGTAATCTCCCAAATTTTAAAAATAGAATCAACTTCTGTAAATAGTATGAGTTCTTGAATTAAAATAGCAGGTGCATCAACAGTATCTTCAATGAAGATATTAAAAACTTCAGGTAGATCACATTGTTCAGTTAAACCAGAATGTTCATCGAGATCACATTCAAATTGTAATCCTAAATCCTGAAAATTATTAATAAGACGTGATGTATACCATACTGCTTGAGCAATTTCTTGACATTGTATAGATAAAGAAGCTTGTGTTAAATAAGTAGTAATCCACTTATCAATATCAGGTGAAAATTCAGAACTGGCATGAGTAAGTGTAGACCCTGTAATAGAATGCACCCAATTTTTG